GGGGGGGGGGACACATCCATAACCCACCCCTTTAGTATTCCTATTAAGTTTTTGCTCAAATTTTAGCTTCTCAGACCAGCAAGGTGGCTGACACCTATAATCTTAGCTCTTTGGGAGGCCAAGGCAAGTGGATTGCTTGAGCTCAGGAGTTCCAGACTAGCCTGAGCAAGAGCAAGACCCCATCTCTACTAAAAATAGAAAGCACTACTGGGCATTGTAGTAGGCGCCTATAGTCCCAACTACTCAGAAGGCTGAGGCAAGAGGATTGTTTAAACACAAAAGTTTGAAGTTGCTGTGAGCTCTGATGCCATGGCACTCTACCCAGAGCAACAGAGTGAGACTCTGTCTCAAAATAAAATAAAAATATCAGCCATTCTTTCACGTAAAATGTTACTCCATGAAAACATGTAGGGCCAGGTGCAGTGGCTTATGCCTGTAATCCCAGCACTTTGGGAAGCCAAGGAGGGAGGATTGCTTTTTGAGACCAACCTGAGCAAGAACCAAGACCAAAATAGAAAAAGGTGTGATGTGATCCTTTTGTAGTTCATAAGCGTAACGATTGGGTTTTCATGCACACGCATGAGATGTGCTTTCTACAAATCTTGTTACGGTGTCGGCACATCACCCATCTGACATGAAGAAATAAAAAAAAATTTTTTTTTTAAGAAAAAGGTGTGGTGACACTCACCTGTAGTCCCAGCAACTCAAGAGGCTGAGGCAGAAGGACCACTTGAGCCCAGGAGTTTGAAGTATAGTGACCTAAGATGATGTCACTGCATCTTAGCCCAGGAAACAGAGCAAGACTGTCTCAAAAACAAAAATTTAAAAAGCGGCTATTTCAGCTCACAATCAAACATCACATAAGTACTTTCCATAAGCGCTAAAAGCACTAAAATGTCTCCTCATAGCAGGTGTCCTCAAACTACGGCCCTCCAACGGTCTGAGGGACAGTGAACTGGCCCTCTGTTTAAAAAGCTTGAGGACCCCTGCCTCATAGAGATAACCAATGTACTTTTTTACACAGCAAAAGTGATTTATGTATACTTCTTACTTTGACACAGAGAATATGTGTATTAAAGAGATAGGTGCTCAAAGATTGAAAACTAATAGCAAGGACATTCTTAGGTGAAGGTGACTTTTTTTTTCTTTTACTGATTTGATTAAAAAAAAAATTCTGGGCTGCGCCTGTGACTCAAAGGAGTAGGACGCCAGCCCTGTTCTGAAGGTGGTGAGATCAAACCCAGCCCCCAGCCAAAAACTGCAAAGAAAAAAAAAGATTCTATTGAGAATATAGTTACT